TGATTGTAAAAATTGGCCAATGAGGAAATTTGGGCAATGAGGAAATTTGGGCAATGAGGAAATTTGGGCAATGAGGAAATTTGGGCAATGAGGAAATTTGGGCAATGAGGAAGTTTGGGCAATGAGGAAACTGGGCCAGCGAAAGATGCTTTTACTTATGAGGAGCTCTCTTATAAAATAAAGTTAGGGAGGACTCTTTATCCTTTTACCTTTGGAGAGACTATAATATTATGAATTGATAAAGCTATATCCATTAAAAATAAAGTTTCTGTAGTTTGGGTTTCACGTGACTCTTGTAATGATGATAAAATGGATTATAAGGATGCGAAGCTTTGCAAATAAATACACAACATTCATCAAATCAAAAAAGAAATTATCAATGCCATGCAAACTTTCTTTGTTAATGTTTTACCATAGATGTTTTCTAAATGTGTGTCTTGCCTACACTTCACGACATGAGATAGCAGAGGCTGTAAAATTGACGGCTGAGGGAGTTGAACTTGGAATATTAGAACCAAGGTAGGTTTTGTGAAAATTGGTAACCGTACTCTCATAGTATACCCAGGTTTGCACTATTTTCCATCCAGCAAACTGACCTGACATCATTTTCGGAAGATGGAAGAGGTGTTAAATGGCTATGTAACTAATCCAAACCCTTACCCCTACTCTAATCCCTAACCCTACTCTAACCCCTAACTGCAATCCTAACTCTAACCCTAACTGAATTAATTAAAAAATCCAAAAAGAAACGACTTTAAAAAATCGATAGGGCAGTTTGCTGGATGGAAAATAGTGCTAACTGTATACCCACTGAGTGGAAGCACTCTCTCATTGACAAGTAAAATTGTTTGGCATTAGACAGAGTAAAATAATAAAGTAGGGTAAACTGCTACTTAAAGGGGTAATAGGATGCATGAGTAGGGCATATTGCCACTTAAAGGATTAATTCTGTCAACTATATTTCTTTCTCTTTAGTGATGTGACGGAAACTTTACTAGACAAGACACTCTATACAAATAAATCACCAGACCCCGATTTATTAATACGAACATCTGGGGAAACTAGATTGAGTGATTTCTTATTATGGCAGGTG